CTCCAATACCTTTCATTTACATTAGTTGACTCAAATATGTTGGTTTGTATAAGTTCTTTATTCTTTTCTACTTGTGCATCTCTCTGCTTATGCTAGCATTACACTGTTTTAAGTGTCTTTTACAGTGCAACATCTTTTATAGTGAAAAAATCTACAGGTTCAGTTATTATGCTCAAAATTTGTTACTTACAGTCTCCTGCACATCTACATATATTTTAAGACAATTTTTGTCCAGTACTTCCAAGATTTTGAAGCTGCTACTGGGGCACCTGGCATTCTCCTGTAGAGGAATAAAGATCTCTTTCTAACTGTTCCTGTGAAATATGGGCCTCTGGAGGCACTGGTTATGAGCTCTGAAGCATCAACTTAATGTAGTTCTTTCGTCTGGAAGATACAAAACTAATCAGCAGATTACAGATACTGGTAGTACAATTACTGCAGAATGGCATTAGTGGAGCTTCCTTTCTACCTGTGCTATCACAATTTGAGCTTCTGCAGCATCAAGTATCTGCCCTTCCTAGTGCATCTGGCTGCTTTGGTAAGGATAAGCTATTGACTATAACACCCATAGTCTGAGATCTTTCACCAACATCCTTTCCTGCCTGGCAATGTTCTTATGTTACAGAAATTAGTCCTCAGACATGCCTCTACTGCCATACCACACTGATATACCTGATCTCATCTGATCTTGAAAGGTAAGCAACATCAATTCTGCTTAGCACTTCCGTGGAAGGCTTAGCTTGGGATAGACTAATTGTTCCTCAATCCATCATGAAGATTCCTGTGCACCGCTCCCAATCCATAAGTCACCCAGTCCTACTCTAAGCCCCAGTTTCCCCTGAGTTGAGTTTCTCCAATTTGAAGCTACTTTAATTTTTATTTCCCACCAAATGGAGCTCAGAGTAGATACAGTGAGGCTCAGAAACACATTCAGTCTGGATATCTTCTTCCACATGTCCACTAGCATGCACAGACTGTGAGCACCTCAAAATCCAACATTCCTCTCTGGCTACAATGTTTCTTCAGTTCTTTTCCCAGCTTTTTTTTGAACTACTGTGTTGTCTTTTTCTTGATTATATGAGATGTCATAAAAATATGTGATGAGTTTTCAAATTAAATTATATTTTTTGTTGTAAAGACTTTGTCATTAACGTCCCTCAAAATACTCCAGACTATTACTATCTCATTTTTTGGACCATATACTTGTTATTTTATTTTATTTATTATCAAGAGTGAATTTTATTTTTCAGTCAACATCCAGAATTTTCTACCTATTGTTTGTGAACTTCTAGAAACCATTTACAGAAAGATTTTACTTCTGTTAGATTTCCTGACAGAACTTCAATATTAATTGCCATTCAACTGCATCACAAAGCTAGAATTAATGGAGGTACTTCTGCAGCTTAGTCCCCTGTTGTTGACATTTGTAGAATTATGTTCTCATTTTTACTAGTGTCTCTTAAAATCCTTCCCAGGTATTTTTGTCTCCCTCCATTGCTCTTCTAATAACATAAATGTTGAAACAATGCAGTGAGATAACGAATAAGATGTAACTAGATTTAGGCAAAAAAAATTAAGGAAAGCAGGGATACAATGAGATTGGTTCACTACATTCTCTCATGTAGGACTCTGCATTTGTTTTTTTTTTTAATTTTATTTAAGAGGAAAAAGAGAAAAACACAAAACAAAACAAAGTGGTGTAAGGGTACACATAATACAGAACTTCAAAAAAAAAACCATAACAGTAAGAAATCACCTGTTAATAGATTACATATTATCATCTTGGAAATAGTTGCTCAAATCACAGTATCAAAGATTACAAAGTGGACATTCAAACAGAGAGACTGCAAACAGCTGTGTTCAATGATCCAAAAACATTGATATAGTCAGCTATTTAACACCCCTAAACACACTTGCTGTTATATCCGTTAGAGCTCTTTTTTTTCCCCTCTCTTTTTTACAACAAAATTTACACATTTTGGATTTTATTACTCCTTAGTTCTTATTACTTTTTGACTTTGCATTTCTTGCCCGACTTTACGAGTCTCCCTGCAGTTGTCAGGGAGAAATAATAGTCTCTCCAAAAGTTTAGTATTCTCTTAAGAGATCCTAAAAAGAAACTTGTATATGCTGTTGACGTTCACCCCCTAGGAAAAAATAGCTGTCAAAATTGGCCTCAACTCCCCAAGCTGACACACTCATTGCCACCACAGATGAAGTGATAATTACAGGTCTGAGGGGAGGTAAATTCACAGAGTCTCAGACCCATATATCAGGCACTAGCTACCTCCCTACAGCATTAATCTCGGGCATGGAGAGAGGAGAGTGTCACACTGTGATCTCCAACCTGGGAAAATGAGGCATCCTGGTGAGTACTTTCCATCGCAATCAGCAAGGCAGAGTTAATAAAGGAAAATTTATATGCAGACTGTGGCTAAAGGCCCCAGAGTAAAGGATTCTGGATTAAGCCTGACTGAATGCCAAAGCTAAACAAGAAGCAGACACTTTCCTAAGTAATGGGCTCAGAAAGTAAAGACATGAGGTTTCTAGAACTTCTGCTAATCCTTGATAGTGTCTAAATTAATGTGATCTTCACTGGCAGTGATTTTGTGGTGTGGTCTATGTGACCTTGCAGCCTGATATTTAACATGCTTACTGAAATTGTTCTAATTGATATAAACTTTAAATTACAGTTAGAAATAACAAGGCAATCTAATATATAGAAGAAGGATGACGTCAGTAAGGCTCTATTATTTACCTGAAAGTTTTAAAGGGCAGTTTTTAAATATCTTTTCAATACACCCATCAGCATGCACACACAAAGACAAATTTCAAATATGTGTGATGGATGTTTCATGAATTTGTGTTACTAATATGTAATCTTTGCATAATCATGCTATTACATCATTATATAACATTGAGGTGTATCATTTTTACCTGTTAAGCACTGGAATATGTACCACACAATATAAAATAGGTAACAGAAGGAAATACCTGTGCCATTACCTAAAAGGAAAAAATTTAAAAATTATTTTTCAGTCTAAGAAATCATAAATACACATTTTAGCAGTACAACACTGAGTCTCTGATTTCTCCACATCTATAAAGAGTATGATCAATTCACAAGAAAAAATCATCCTACACAGGAAGTGCATTCAGTGAATGGACAAATAGAAAGATTTTTCTTTAAGGATGCAACATGTAATTTATGTAAACATTAATTGTATCTCTTCTAAAAGTGTTCAGCATGTTGATTGTCTTCTGAGTGTTTTCTTTCTTAAATTTAGGGTAGCAATAGATAAGAAAAACTTAGGATAATCATTACTGCTTTCCATAATTTTCTGGCAGTTATAATTAATATAATTTTCACATATTTAAAAATCTGCTCATGAATTGTAACAAGCCATCCCAGAATTGCAATCTCATGGAAGATACACATATAGAAGGAATCTCTGTATTGTCCATTAAAATTAGCTTTGAACAGAAAACTTTCTTAAACAACAAAATGCATTAAACTTTACATTGCACTATGAAGCCCAAAACGAACCCAAATGCACTCCTTTAACATTTACATAAGTAAGTTTCTATGTCTTGCATTACCATTTTACATCTTCATATTCTGGAACACAGACCTTATTTCATTGGTAGTAGTTTCAGTTATCTCAAGGATCCAATAGCAAATAAGAAAATCACATGAAATGAATAACCAGTTTGTCACTATCCTACACTCTTGCAGAATGTATTGGAGTTACATCCCAAAATTTAGTATATGACATGGTTATTGAACAATTCCTGTAACAGTAATTAATGCACTTGGTTCAGAACCGGAGGGCAATTGAGTTATTCAGCAGCTTTCCTGGCATTCTCTTTTTTCCTTATTGCACACAGGTTATCAGGAATCTGCTTCTTGCCACAGTAATGTCCCTCAGTGCACCTATGTTTTTTAAGCATTCAGATGTTCACTCATAATTGATGCTGACCAGTAGTATAAATGTGCAAAGGTATATGGAAATGTAACATCAAATATTATAAAAGAAGATAGCAGGGACATATTAAAAAGTCATATGTAATGCTTGATTCCTTTTAGAACCCAGGGATACAGCTTTTAAGAAAGCATGGCGGTTCTCCATGTTATCACTCAGCCAGGATCAAGGCCATCCCTTGCTCTAACTGAGATGTTAATTTAGACACATACTTAATCTGTTTGTGCTTAAGATTGCCTTATATTTGTAGTTCCTCATCTTACTCATGGCTGCATCATAGATGATGAAGAATGAATTAGTCATCATGACTGTCCACTTCCCAACAGGAATTTATACATAAAAAGAGCTCCATAAATGTGTAAATCACTAAAAGGAAAACATTCAGCACATTGTTCTCAATGGGAACCAGTGGCAGGTGGGTACTGATGCTTCATGTGATATCAGGTCCTGACCTTGATCCCCAATCTCCCAAACAAGTGAAGTTTTAGATAAATGAGACAAGTAGTATGATATTTGGGATACAGGAGGATCAAACCCTTTAGCCAAGTTTAAGACTCTGAAGGCTAAGATAATGACCACTCATATTTATTCGGTCCAAAACAAAGAACAGGGAAACTGAAGAAAGTATGAGCAATGAGCAGGACTTTAGGAGTCACTTCAAAGACTTCTCCAAGTGGAAAATTATTCCAATTTAGGAGAACCATCTTATCTCCATGATGATACTTATGGTAGAAGTGAGACTGCAGGAGTGAGATTTCTGCAGCTGCAGTCCCTACTTAATTAGTTCTACAGACAATGTATCCTCAGCTGTGGCCTTACGGTGCCTTTTGAAGTGTCTCTGGCCTCACAGGCCACTACAGGTCTCAACCAGGACCAGTGATTCATAAAGCTTCACTTACTATGACCCACTATGCAAGGGGCCTAGGCCAAGGATAGACTCACAGATAAACAGAGAAAGCCAGTTAATTTTTAAAATGCTTCTCAGAGCTGCTTCATAGTGATCACCAAAAACATGACTTGGTACATGCAGCCCATGCCTCATCTTGCCTTGCAGGGTACTCAGCACAGACAACAGGAATGGGTAGGATGGCAGCCCTTGAAGTGGTCATAGGAGTGATCCTCTTTTCACAGACTGTGATGGGGGTTTTGGGCAATTCCTCTCTTCTCTACCAGTATCTATTCCTTTACTTCATTGGGTGCAGGTTAAAGTGCACAGACCTGATTCTTAATCACTTGATTTTTGCCAACCTCTTAACCCTCCTGTGTAGAGGAGTACCCCACACCATGGAAGCTTTTGGCTGGCAAGTTTCCCTTGGTAATGTGGGGTGCAAAATACTCTGCTACCTACAAAGAGTGGGCAGGGGAGGGTCCATCTGCACCATCTGTTTCCTGAGTGTCTTCCAGGCCATCAGCATCAGCCCCAGGAATTCCAAATGGGCAGAGCTTAAAATGAAGGCTTCCAAGTATGTTGACTTCACCTTGTGCCTTATCTGGGTCCTGTACAGCCTTATAAATGTTAGTTTTCTTAAGTATGTAACTGGAAATTGGAAAAACGAAAATCACACAAGCCTCAAATATCATGGATACTGTTCTAGTATTCGTCATGACAAAATTGCAGAGTCATTATATGCAGCCCTGCTGTCCCTCCCTGATGCTTTGTGTGTGGGGCTCATGCTCTGCTCCAGCATCTCCATGGTTTCCATGCTGTACAGGCACAGGCGGCAGATGAGACAGATCCACAGGACTAATGCTAGCCCCAGATCTTGTCCTGAATCCAGAGCAACCAAACACATCCTTCTCCTGGTCATCTCCTATGTCTGTTTTTACACACTCTCCTGCATCTTTCAAGTTTGGTTGTCTTTTACATATAATCCCACCTTTTTCCTGTTGAAAATATCTGCAATAGTTTCTGGGTGTTTCCCAGCTATCAGCCCTCTTCTGCTCTTGAGGTGTGAATCCAGAGCATCCAGGTTCTGTTTTGCCTGTATAAGGAATGGAAAAGCACCTATTTACATGACAAATGGGTAAATTTTTAAAGTTTTTACATTATTGGAGTTTGTCTCCATCATCCTACAGAATTATTCACACTTACACATTCATATTACATGAGGATACAGATTTACACAACTGCACTTGTGTATTAGATACTTCTGTGTTTATATGTTGTTCTTTATCATTTATCCAGCAATAATTCCAGAAAATTTTCTTTAACAATGATGTATTCCATAAATACTAGTTACAAGAAAGGCAAGCTGATTTAACATGCAGTAAATCTTTTATATATTTATGTATTCTGAGTGTTTAACTTGATAAAATACAAGATATGTATTTTTCATTTATCCACTTTTCTGTTTGTATCTTGGCTATGTCTGGTATAAGAAAGATCCAGTGATTGTAGTCAAACATTATTTCACTTTAGCAACTGTAATTAGCCTTACATTTTTCATATAACACTGGACTTATTTGGGCACTAATCATCAACCTATTTTTGCCACTATTACCCTGGTTACATTTTCTTGGCTGATTTCAACTATCTTAATTGATTTCCTTAATGCTACATTTCATCATGGGAGATTAAATGCATGCCATTATTTGTTGATATTGGCACATTTTCTAGCACTAAAACACACTCCTAGATGCTTTATTTCTTCTTTTTAAAAGCTAGTAAGTACAAGCTGATAACCTTTTCTTAAACATTCACAATTCCATTGTGTACTCATATATTTCCCTTTCAAAAATTTATTTTAAAGGGAATGAAACAAAATAATAAAATGGAACAAAACACTGGTATCATTTGAACAATTGAAAGCAGATGTCTTGTGCTCTGGGTGAATGATTTGGGGATGAAAATGCACAATGTATGTACCAATGTATGTACCCTGATTGATGCGCTTTGAAATTTCATTGTAGATTTTCCTCTTATTTTTCTTCTCTTCCTCCTACTTCTTGTTTCTTTCTTTGTTTATTTTCGTCTTTGAATAAAATGGATTTTTTAAAAATGGACCAAAACTAAACAGTAAGAACAATATTGGATTTCAAAAACTGGACAGAAGGAAATGCCCCATAGTTGCAATATTGCATATTGTTATTCTCTAAATAGATAATCAGACTATCAGCTTTAGGCCTGCAATATCAATCAAATAATTCTAACATTTTTTTTTACATCACTTGCTATCATCTCAGACTGTGTTCCTCTGAATCAGCCAGGTGCTTATGTGGGTGGTGGCAGGCAGCTTTTCTTGTCTCCCAGCCTATACATCAGCTGGATCACAGGAGTGCATAGCTTGGCTTCTTGGTTCTCCTACCAGCCCACCACTGAAACTGGCTCATGAGAAGTTGCAGCTCAGCTTCTTGCTTCTCCTCCTGGCCTGAATGGCGACCACTGGCTCACGGGAAGGTATAGCTTCTTCATTTTCTTCTAAGCCCACAACTCCCACTGGCACATGGGAAGCCACAGTTTGGCCTCTTCATTCCCCTCCTGGCCCTCATGGCTGTCTCTGACACATGTGTCTCTGGCACATCTTGGATCTTGGCTGTTTACCTGGTCCATGACTGTCACTGGCTCATAGGAGGGCAGCTTATATTTCCCTCTTAACTGATGACTAGTAACTTACTCTACTGTATCTTTAAAACATTTTTACATATAAGTCATACATGCTGTGCTCAATGTTAGTTTTCCAAAAGGCTTTTGTAAATTGCACCTTGAGATGTTCTGATTTTCCCCAAAATACCTTTTGCGTTTTCCCCCTTTATGACTAATTAAAATCATTTTTGTATATAAGAATCTGTGATAATGTCTTTCATTTTTATCTAAAGCATCAAACTGTATTCTGAAGTTTTCATCCACAATCCACTCATAACCAGTTTGTTAGGTACTAGTGGTGATATGATCCTGTCATTTAAACCTAGTAATAAATTTCAACTCATTTTGAAAATATAGCATATGGTTTCTTTTGCCTCTCAATGTCCACTAACTAACCTTGGTTAATGTCACTTCTCCTCTGGCTTGGCTTTCATGAAAAGTCTCCTGCTCATTGTATCTGTTTTTTCTTCTTATTTCTTATGAGACAGTGAAGCATACAGTCAAGACCAGTCCTGATGTTAAAACTCTACAGTGGATGAGAATCAGGCAAGATTATGAAATTGAAATTATGATGATTCTTTCAGCCCCTTTCCAGGAACTACACTGTCAGAACCTGTCTACGGAGAGCACCGTGGAACTCCAGAGCACTAAGGTCTGAAACTTCCAAAACAAATCTGGACTGGTAAATTATTGCCAATTTCTGGTATTTGGATCTCTTAGCACTGTAGCATCTACCCAAACTCTCTTAATGGCATAGGGCCACCTGTATGTGCTCCTGGAGCAGCCTGCCTACATCTAAAATCATGGGGGCTTAAGACCTGTGTGGTTCAATTCATACAACACTGTATTCTGGGTGCACTTGTAGACCTGGAAATATTGTCCCAGAGCCTGAGAGACACACCTAGAAGTCTCCTCTCACCATTACAAGCCACTCCTCTTTTCTGGGATTTAAAAGGCCAGTGTCTCTCTCTTCAACTTTTACTATTTCTTTCTGCTTGCTTTACCACTCATGTCAGGGAGCCATTTATGATCTCCAATATTTAAAAGTACTTGCACATTTAGGGAAATTGAGAGCATAGTTATGCATGAAACTCAAGAAAAAACACTGTAAGGACCTCAGAAGGCCTTTAATTTACACCTCACTTTGATAACCATGGGGTACAAAGCATAAACTAAAAATCCAAACAATAACCAATTAAACAAAAATGCAATTTGGGAGGGATAAGATAGGTGATTTCCAGAATTCCATTTTTCTTATAATATTCATAAGTCTAGTTTCCACTCAAATAAAAAAAATTGAAAAGACAAGGAAACAAAACAATCAAAACTCATATAGGGAAACAAGAAACTGGTCCATTAAAAGGCCAAAAAAAAATTTCACTGTGGTGTAGCAAAAATTACCATGGAAAGAGAGCCCCAAAGTATCCAACAGGGCAGTCAGAGGCCAGATGGGTACAGTGGTAGAGAAATTGAAATAGAACTTGAGCAAGATAGCGATAAGGTAACATAGAGAAAACAAATAGCAACAGGAAGAATTGAAGCTGTGAATAAGGTCAGGTTCTAAACAAATATAATCTGAAGTCACTGTGGTTAACATCCTCATGGTATCAAGTGTCCTCTCCACCATGACACTGCACAGAATCTGTGATAATGACAGCAGGCAGGTACTGGGGTCACAAGGGTAATGCTCAGCACCAATCTAGAAACCTAGACACCCAAGAAAGGCAAACATTTTTCAGAGCAAGAAACCAGGAGGGCAACCACAATTGGACACTCACACAGGTGCCATTGTCCACAATGCAAGCAGAGTGACTGTCAATGGTTTCTACTGCCACCAGGTAATTTTCAATCACAACTCTTGTGAATATCACAAAATATCATCCACACTTAGCAAAACATTGAAATACTCATGATTTTTAAACCTTAGAAGAGAGCTCTTAATGCACTAAACGAAGAGTGCACATTACTCTATCACAAATTGCCATTAATAAAATGAGACCCATTAATAATTTTATTTAAAAAGGGGGGTAATTCATTGGGAAATATAACTATCTGTAAAAGATGTAATAGTCCAATATGGGAGTTGTGGCACATACTTGTAATCCCAATACTTGGAAAGTTGAGGTAGGAGGAATGCTGAGAGTTTGAGGCTTGTCTGTCTACAATTGAGTTCTAAGCTATCTTGAAATGCATAGTGAGACCCTATCTACAAAAGTTCAAAAGAAAATCATAGTTGAGAGAATTTCATTCATAAGTGGAGAAATTAAATAAATCTCATTTTACCTAACTTTTAATAATATACTAACACAACATCCCCTCATCATTTCAATTTTACATAAAATTTAGAAATCCATTGTTTATGGTATGATAATGAAAGACATGAAAATTGCCATGTGCCAATCAATATTTAAACATGTTTTATAATTCATTTAACCCTAACAATAACTCCAAACTTAAGCTATTATCCCTACAAATTCTGGGAGAACATGGCAGACAAATAACAGCAGCCATGGAGGCTCTCTGAGATTACCAGTTTAGAATCCAGGAGTAGTGCTGTGTGAGGAGTCCTACACGAGGGGAGAGGTACCCTGCCAACCCAGGAAAAAACTAAGCTGAGAGAAACCGTCTGGAAATGCAATCCTGATGCTGTAACAAGAACAGATAAAATCTCAGTGCAGAAGCTGGATCCCGCGCCACTGGAAGCTGTGATTTGAATTTCCTGCTGCTGCTACTGTGTCCCAATCCACACGGCAGGGAGAGAGACACGAGAGAGCTCTGAGAGCTGGAATCAGTGAACCAAATGATGTTGAGAGTGGGACTGGCAGGGAACCCTGCATCGACCTGTGGTGAGTGAGGGAAATGGGGACCCTTTCATAGACTAGGAGGCTCCAACAGAGGATATTCTGGGAACAAGGAGACTAGCTGGAACAGGGCCCTGCAGTGACTTTAGTCGCATATTCCCCTCTCAAGCAGGAGTGGTGGGGAGCACTTGGCCTGGTGACGCCACAGACTAAAATCCAGTAGGCTAACCCAAATCAGGTCCCTGCACCTAGCGGTGCACCCTAGCAGTGAAGCATTCAGTAGGTTGACCTGGAGGGGTGGGCCCAGCAGAGGCTTCCCAGGTCTGTGTCTCCCTAGTACACTGCAATGGGTGGGAACACCTAGCGGGCAAATTCAAACAAACTGTAACAGACAAAGAGAAAAAAAAAAAAACGGCCTCCTACATACGCTTGTATGGAACGAACAAAATGTATGGGAAAAGGGAGCAACAAGAAAGGGTCCTCAGTCCCCAATCCTGAGAACACTGATCCAGGAAAGGTAAATGCAAAAGAGAATGAAGACAGAAAACAGGCAATATCCGACATGGCACCTATAGACATAAAGCAGTATCTCCAGAGCCTCATAGACGAGTTCAAAAATGAAGTAATGAAATAAAGCAAGAAAT